TTTGTGTGTTCTTAGTTACTCGGAAGGAATCCTTTACAAGACCGGGCTTCATTCATCCAGCACCCGTGTATAGTAGAATGATGATAATATCGGTTTCGTGTCCGTCTCTTACGGTTTTACCTTTTACATTTTTGGTTACCGAGTGCACGCTTCTAAAAACCGGTTGTTTTCGGTTTCTCCAATAATTTGCTTTATTGAAATGCTAGACAGCCGTTTTATAATAAATGATTTAAATTAGTCCCAGATTTCTAACAACTTTATACGAAAAGTCGATGTTAAACCTGACTTTTTTTTTTTCTTGCTGTGTTGTTCCAGTACCGTCACTCCCAACACAATTCGGACGAAATGAATACCGGATTTTGTTTTTCGCCAGCTCTTCATCGAGGTCAATTTTCCTCGTTTCTTCATCTACTGCAAATGAGGAACATCGGTGGTTTGAAAAGAATGGAAATGGATGGACATCTCAGTCTTCTAACTTATTCGTTGATATCCCGAAGGCGCCACGTACTGATTACACGTAGCGATTGTGGCAGATTTAGAAATAAGGACTTTTCATTGTAAGCTCGACCACTGATTCCAACTAAGTATTCTTAAGCCTAAATTTAGATTGAACGAAAATGTATTACCGGAGGTACCACTCGCTGACAGTAGCTCTGTCAAATGGCCACGACATTTCAAGATCCCTCCTCGGGGTCATTCTTGAGAAAGACTAATATTTTTACTTTTTGGTTAATATCGGATAATATCGGTTAGCGGTAAATTATCTACAGTGACAGTAACGGTTTTCATCAATTTCAAATAATGGTTTCGTTCCGGCTCCGGTTAATGAAAAAAATTTCGTTCCTAAACGATTTTCGGTTTCGGTTCGAGTGTCTGTCAAGAACACCTTGCTAATAAAGTTTCTAAAACGTGTATTGATCATATAACCGTACGCGCGAGCAATTTAATGTTTTTAGCGGAAATCTCGCAGCAAAAAGGGGCAGATTATTAATTTGTTGCTCGGTAATGGGTAATGGGTAAAAGAAAAAAAAAGTGTATTCTTAAACCCTTTTGTCCGATATAATGCACCCAAATCTTTAGTTCCACGTACAGCGCACTGACGTCGAACAGACGACCCCAAGTTTTAAAAAGTGCGTAACAACGGTGCCATATAACTTATAAAGCAGCTGAAGTGCGTATGAATGACGACAGAAAAAGAAAAAGAAAAAGACTGAGGTTTTGCAGTTGGGCCAAGAAAACCCCAAATAATTTTTTTTGTAGTCAATAACCCGTTCATTAGTTGTTTTAATAATTTGTACCATTCGTCTCTTAAGCCGCTCGTGAAAGTTGGTACTGTCGGTTCGACGTCAACGCGCCGTACGTCGAGCTGAAGTTTTTGGGTGTTTTATATGGGACAAAAGGGTGTAAGGAGATACTTTTTTTCCTGGGAGTGTACGTGTAAGGTGAAGGAACCGGACTATAAGCAAATCAGAGATAACAAAAAAGTAAACTACAGCACAAGAAGATACAACTGGAACATTCTATTCCAAAAAAAAAAAGTAGACTACAGTATAAAAAGATATAACTGGAACTCTCTATTAAAACTCGATAACGCAGCTCTTTACCAAACGCTAGTTGAAAAGCTTGTGATCGTTCTGATGTAAACGCCATACGTGTGCTCAGCCAATGATCTATCTGAGCCGCGCCCCTGATTGTTTTGTATTGTACAGGCATGCGGTTGTGTAATCGCAACATCGTTAAAAAGAGTACAGACTTGGGGCTAAGAATCCCAGACAACACTCAATAAGTTACCCCTTCAGGACGTCAAACCACGTCACCGAATCTTTTGGCGAATTGAACTCTCGCTATTTAAACGTTCACAAAACCCGATATGTTTTTCTTCTCTTAATACCAAAGTGAAAGACGGAGAAAATTACAAAAGGTTCCGCATGTGTTCGTAAGAATTGCGACGTACCTCCGCTGGTGGAAGACGTCTGAAAGGGAGAAATTCCACGTCACTGGTTTGCGCCAGTGTGAGAGCCCGGAATACATAACCGTAAAGTTATCTCTTCCCTAAGCTAAAAGATGAGGTCCGTTTCTGAACCTTGAAAAGTAAATATCCTCAAATATGTGATTTGGACAGCAGATGAGTATTGTGCGTGCTTCGTCTTGAAAGCCGTTTTCGTCGGGGGCCACCGGTATATCCGAGTTATTAGCCGATCCACACATTCTACTGAAGGCATCCCCCTTTCTCGAGAAAGACCGCAGCATGTAACAGGTCGTCCCGCAGTTAATCTGCTCAGTTTTCGTATTTATTGTCCGCGAAAATACGCAATTGCATTTATTGTCTTTGGAACAAAACGCTTGGTCCAAACGTTTTGTTCCAAAGAGCAACTCTTTTGTGAACCGGTGCGGGAACGCGACTTCGATGCCCAACCACTTCGCCGTGACTTCTCGCGCAGCTAACGCAGTGACTCTGGATTAACACGGGACTGCGCAATTTTTGTTACGGTTGCCTTTCTGGTCAATAAATATTTGCTCATTACTCAATTCTCTCGTTAGGTTGTCTCGTTTTTTCTCTCGAGTCAAGCGGTTTTAATTTTATATTTCATATTGCGCGCGGTCTGATCTGGAATTTAGAATTGACGTGGGCGTTTAAACAATTGATTCCTACCGAATTTCACGATTCTAGTTTGGCGCGCGACAAACTAGACAGCGCAAGCTACCGCGTAACGGAATCAATTATGTTAGTTATCCACTCAAGCAAATAGCCGAGACCAAGTTCACAACAGCCACCAGGCGCGCTGACAGTCGAGTGAGCCGCTGGGGTCTATGGGAGTGTCCACTCTTTACGTTACACTAAAGGCCGGTTCACACATACAGCGGAGAGCTAAGTTAGCGCTACGTGAGCGCTCAAAGGAGCGCTCATGTGGCGTTTCCTAGCGCGTGATGTAGCGCTCTGTTAGCGCTTCAGCAGCGCTCTGTTAGCGCTTTGTCAGCGCTCTCACGCTTGTTCTTTTTCCTTTTTCATTGAAAGAAGAGGAGGTAATTGAGCCACTTTCCAAGCAAAGGGTCGGGCAGATGATCCAGAGTCATGGACTCTGAGCGACTAATTGATTGGGTACGACCTCATCGCCTTCTATTCAATATGCGTGACCGTGGTTTCGAAGTCACACAGTTAAAAATAATCGCCTTCGAAAGAGCTTTGTGTCTCGGTCCCTCAGCCTAGGAACAAGGTTCGCCGGGTACCCGTCTGTATTTCGGTGGCGAAAGATTTCGCTCACCCAGAAGGCTCTTCTGGGCGTTCAGCCGTCTACACACATATGCACTAATCGCGTATGTAAGAGCATTTGTCGCGTTTCTATTTCATCATACCACATGTCCGCCATGGTGCTGCTGATGCACATCCAACCACAGGAACCGGAACCGCAGTGCACGCGCTAATCCGCAGCACCGCGGTACAAGAAGCGCTACTGAAGCGCTAACACGGCGCTATACCGAAGCTCTAAAAAGGCGCTACATGGAGCGCTAACAAGGCGCTACTGGAGCGCCGTGTTAGCGCTCACGTAGGGCTAACTTAGCGCTCCGCTGTATGTGTGAACAGGCCTTAAATTGCTGTATGTTTACAGCGCCGAGGGAACGGGCGACTGAAGACGAAACAAAGCAAATGGCGAGGAGCCCAATCACATGACCCCCAGCGCAATCGCGATTGGACGAATGCGCTGCGCCTCAACCGCGGCTATTATCAGCGAAAGGGCGACGGTATCACTGCGGTACTCGCCCTCTCGCGGCGCCAAAGCCACTTGCGATGAACGCCCGCATGCTCCGTTCGTTTTCGGCAACACGAAACTTGCCCAGTACAGCCAAAGCTCCTTTATCCTGGGAAAAGTGGCGCCATTCATTGTTGTGAAATTGCTCGAGACACGTGCCGTGCGTCACTTCTGCGAAGACCATGGCGTCTGAAATCTAGCTCAGTGCTGCGTTGTGCCGCCATGATCTTCCCAGGGGCTGCATGTCGCACGTGCCTCGTGCATCGACGCACCATGAAGAGGCTTTAAGTACAACAAGTCCAGTACAGCTGAAGCTCTCAAAAGCTCCGCGGTAACGCGCCTGCTTCACGCGCAGCAACCCCCAAAACACGGTGTAAGATACACTCTTTAGGTGAGGACACGGCGGGACTGAACGCACGGCGCGAGGAATCAGATAGTGTTCGTTCGACGGGCATCCGAAAGGCTGCATTATTCCGCGGCCACCGTGCCCGTGGCCGACAGTGTCGCCGGCGGCCAAACGGCGAAACTGTGTGAAAGCGAAAAAAAATTATCTCGTTGTCATGACCACCCCGGTACACCGTGGTCTTTCTGCACGAACGACAACCTCGCTGGAGCTCTGCGCGTGTGGAGCATGAGGCGGCACAAGCCGTCTTTGTCGTGCCCACGGGTCGACGAGTCATCTGCCGGCGCCGCTTAAAAAGATAGTGAGAGAGAGAAAGAGACAGAGTGAAAAGCGAACTTTATCTGCACTGCGCAAGGAACGCGCTGTCCTCACCTGAAGAGTATTATCTTACACCGTGCCCCAAGAGAACACCTCGGCGGTGGGCGAGCTTTTTCGAGCATTTGGCGATATCGACGACGGACGTCATTTCCAGTGGAAAAACGGACGCATAAAAGTTACGAATAACAGAATTAATGCAAAGGTGCAAGTGAGTTAGACAAGAATAACCATAATAATCAGCGGAGGAGGGAAACAAGGGGGACAAAGGACAAACACAAATCTTCAAACTCAGCTAGGTGACTGGTGCTCGACTGAAAAAATCCGTCTGGTCCTGGTATCGAACCAGGGACCTCTCCATCTCCACTAGAGAGGCCCCTTGTTATCCTTCTCCTATAGGATTATTATCGTTACGCATATAAGCATCCTCTGTACCATGTCTCTCTTTTTAACAAAAAAGGAAAGAAACGTCTATCAGAGGACACGGAAGCTGGGATATTTTCTAATGACTTTGACTGTTTTCCTTCCGGCAGTACTTCGACTCGGTGACGATCCTGTTCAGCGACGTGGTGTCGTTCACGGAGATCTGCAGCCGCATCACGCCCATGGAGGTGGTGTCCATGCTCAACTCCATGTACTCCCTCTTCGACGAACTCACCGAGAAGCACGGCGTCTACAAGGTCAGGCTCCGCGTGGGCACCGAGAGCGCTCGGGCCGTCGGCTCCCAGACAACGAGGCCAGAGCGGGGCGCGGATGCCACGCGAGTGTTTTCGTTAGCCTGGCATTCGTGCTCAGTCAGGTTCGGGTCGGCGCCCCTCGATTGCCTCCCGGGGCGTACAAAGAGAGAGCGGCCTTCAGAGGTTTGCCGAAGGCCGAACAGTGGCCCCTGAACCGCGTTGCGGCTGTTGAGTTGAAAAGTGGACTGCCTAGCTCGCGTCTTTGCCCGGTGCCTTTGCCCTCGTAGAATAATCCGAGCTCGTGCACCGGCCAGCATTTCGACGTCATCCAGGTGAGATTGACATAATTAATGGGACGCGGTGCCGAGTTCGGCGTCGTCGTGCCCAGGCTTAGCGCGTCTTTACCCTCGACCTTCGTGTCGTGACGTGTTCGTGGCGCAGCAGCCTTGAGCGCTGGATGAACTCCATTCAGTACACGAGTACCCCCAAGGGGTGAATGTCGGAACGAGCCAGAAGTGGCCATGCTTCGCGGGAATTTAATCGACGATCAATCACTGTGGGCTAAGTCAGAATATCTCAACAGCAGTCAGGGGCCCTGGCCATACATAAAGTGTTTCCCGACGCGTTCCAAGCATACATATGCATGAAGCGCCCCGAACATGCTCGAAATACTTTTGTCATCCACTTTTGCTCGAGGGACGAGAAGCGTACACTATTCACTAGCAATTTTTACCGGACGTTTCGACTCGCCCTTCTTCCCGAATTGTATGGCAGCCTCTGCATGCCTAGCTGGAACCTCTTTTTGGGAGTGTCACTCAGCCACACCTAAACAGCCACTTCCATCTTCTCAATGACCGCGAAATGGCGTCTTCGCAGTGTTTTATTTCGTGCCACCGAAGAGGTGATTACCACTGGAAGCCCGGTTAGGCCATGCACACGCACGATCCAACGTCCCCACTGGTCGTTCGACGTGTGACGGCCGAATCCGATCAAGCGCCGGTCAATCACGGCCTCGCGTGGGTGAGCACGATGCAGTGGCGCCTGATTGAGTTCGGTCGTCATTCTGACACGCCCTACGACCGGTCAGACGTTTGTTCCTGACTCGTGCTTAAGGATGGCCTGACCCGGCCCCCAGTGATTATCACCTGTTCGGTGGCACGAAGAAATGAGCGATCTTGCGTTAGTGCATGGTACAGTCAGGGCGATAGCTGCGACACGTCACGGTCGTTGGGCATCGGTGTCGCCTTCACGCACCGTCTTAACGGCCAAGTCTTCTGGCTTCGTTCATGGGCTCTAGGTGTGAAGTGCCCGCTTCCCACGCAGCGGACCCAGGGTCGAATCCCGAAAACCCTGCGCCGACGGGCGTCCTTTTTTTTTAAATCATTTGGCAATATCGACGACGGACGCCGTACAACGACAACGGAGGTGATTTCCGGTGGTGGAAAGTGAACAGCTGTAAAAAAGCCGGGGAAGGACGTTTTTTCGCGGTCAATGAGAACCTGGAGGCAGCTGTGGGGGGCACTGCCAAGAAGTGCTTCCAGTAGGGCATGCAGAGGCTGCCCCACGGATGGCGGCATTCGGCTCCAGGCGGAGTGATAGGCCTCCTGCGTTGTCCTGGAGGCGCTGCGAAAAGGGACCTGTTTTATGTTATACAAACTTAGGCGTCTCAAGCTCTCACACGTGTAGAAGCGTGCCTGCTCGGGCGCGGAATGAGATAACGAGGAAAATACAAAGAAACAAATTACAGGACGGCAAATTGATGGTCGAAGCAAATTTGACGAAACCACAGGGGTGATTATCTACGAATGCGATAGCCTTTATCGCTGCACACCGCAAAATTTAGCGGGAAAACTCAAAACTAACGTCAATTTTTTTCGCTAAATTGAGCGGGAAAACTTTTCACTAAACAAGACGAGGCTAAATCCTTGTCGTCCTTGAGATCACCCTAGAGGTCGTCCTTGAGGTCGGCCTAAACGTCGCTCTTAACGTCGTCCTCAACGTCGTCTAGGACGACCTGGAGGACGACATCCAAGAAGACGTGTAGGGCAATGTCCCGGAGGATCTCTAGGACGTCGTCTAGGACGACCTGGAGGACGACGTCCTGCAGGACGACATCCAAGAAGACGTCTAGGGCAATGTCCCGGATGATCTCTAGGACGTCTTCTAGGGCGACTTGGAGGACAACGTCCTGGAGGACGACATCCAGGAAGACGTCGGCAATGCCCCGGATGATCTCTAGGACGACCTCTAAAACGACCTCGAAGATGACCTCTAGGACGATCTCTATGACTACCTTTAGCACGAAGTCTAGGACGACGTCAAGGTCGTCAGGCTCTTCGAAGAGGGTACGAATGTGAAGGAGTGCGTACTGCCGCTCGGCAAACGCGCGACGCGATGGGGTGCAAGCACAGTGAGCTCAAATGATCTACTGCGCATATTTGCTGAGCATTCGAAGCCCGAATATACATAGCTGAAAATCTTGAGTAGTAACTTAATAATGCTATTGCATTAAAAATTCAAACCCAGTCGAAGCACAGGTCAGCGCTAAGACGCTAAAGGTCGGTTCACACAGGGGAGTTTGCTGACGATTTCTTGCGTTACGTGGGCCGTCATCGGGACATCCGTGTTTCGGATGCCGCGTGCAAAGCTGCTCCTTGAACCGGTCGCCACTCCTCATTCGAAGCACAGATATCCCAGCGACTCGCGACCGAAGCGGTCGTAATCGGTCGTAACGTAACGTAGGAAAGCACCCCTTTGTAAACCGACCTAAAGAGCGTGAACTTAAAAGCGCCGTATCACCCATTTAAAAAAAGAAAAAAACAAGTTGGTGTGCCAGATGTTTTGACGTCACCACCCAGAGATAAAAGACGCGTACCCTAGCGACTGAAACGAGACCGGTTTGTAAGCCTCTTTCAACGACTTACGACCGACCGCGCAGCAATGCAGCCGCTCGTACGCCGTCGCAAGAGGCTTAAAAGCCGGTCTCTATCAGTCGTAGTCAAGCCCGAGTGTGTGAAAGGACATTTTAGCGACCAGGACATCACCGCCTACTGCAATGGGGCCGCGGTGCGGAACTGGCCAATCGCAGCTGGTCGCCATGGCCCAGTCCCTCGGTCCCGCCGTGTTGATTATGGCCCCCGGATTGCCACGATCTACGTTCGTATCAATGAAAGGCGCACTACGTGCTTCTAGCGGGAAGAGATGTTACGCATGTTGGGTTTGTCGTGACAATACAGGTTGGGGGGAACAAATTGAGCCGTATAACAAATCAATGAATTAAAGACGCCGTGATTCTCTCGAAAAAGGCGCTTCATCGTGCGGAGTGGTTGTGGCTGTTTTTAAAAGATGGCGTACATTATCGTGACACTTCACGGTGCTCCCCAACGATTCCTATTTTCCTTAGAATCGTTACCGCTTCGGGAACGCACGATCGAAGACAGCAGTGCGAGGCGCCGTCCAAGCACCCTGAACGAGAGAACTTGAGACACGGTTAGTGGATCGGTGATTGACAGCTGCGTAGGGCGTGGCACATTGTGGTCACGCTTCTTGCCTGGCGTTCTTGGCCTTTCTGCTCGGCCGATGTCTCATTGGCTGCCGAGGGACGATAAAATGCTCCCTGTTGTGCCCCGCATTCTCAGGCTTTCAGATGTGTGTGATGAGCCGTCCATGATGCGCAGGTGGAGACGATCGGCGACGCGTACATGGTCGTGGCCGGGGCCCCCGAGCCGGAACCCAACCACTCGGAGAAGGTGTGCGACATGGCGCTAGACATGATCAAGGTTATCGGAGACCTCAAGGACCCGTCCACGGGAAAGAGCCTCAGGATACGTGTGGGTCAGTGCAGGTCCATGTTAGCGATTGTACACCGGGACTCTTTTCCCACCGATTTGTGGCAGACACCGATTTGTGAGCGCCGATGAAAGAACTCTTTTTGGGGCTTATACGTAGTTGTAAAAACACGAATGAAAGATGGGTTGCAAACTACAGTGTGTGTTTATCGTCGTCGCGCCAGTGGAATGACAAGTCTTGCCTTGGGCAGCGTCTAACGGTTAAGAAAGTTCGAATTTTCGCACTCCTGTTTTTCAGTGATATTGCGACCTATTGACGATCTCGAGCATTACAAAACAAACGTAAACGCTTTGCAAAGAAAAAAAAATTACAGAAGTAGTTTGTTGGTTATGGTAGACTTACTGGCCACGCAAGGAAGAAAAATTGTAAACACTTGAGCAACCCGTAATGGGAAACACTGCGACAGCTGTGGTCTGACGTCGGAGGTCCTAAGGTGTAATTTCAGAGCAGATGGACTGAATGAAGGGTAAAGGTGCGGGCGCGCACCAGGGAGTCCGCACAGGCGTTTCGTATTAAACCGAGTAACGCAACGGACGAGAATTCCCCTGTTTTGGAACCGATGAGGGTGTATTAAGTAAAGAGCATTTCAGCTGTCTCTGTCAGAAGGATGCGTGTTTTCGTACCTCACTTCGGTACAAGGAGTCACACGCGCTAAACGAAAAGCGCCGAAGAAACGGGGACAAGGAAGTAGACGAGACCAAGTGCACGCTCAAATGAAAGTTTATTAAAACAAACACGCACTATTAATGCCATCTTTCGGGCTAGGCGTTTAGAAAATAAATCTCTGTAGTGGTTGTCATTGACAAGGCATTGAAGCACTTGCTTCTTTCCCTTTGCGTTTTGATAAAAAAATGCATCGTAAATTTCGTAGGCAGTTTTACCTGTGTACCTCCCTAGAATTGTTGTTTATGCTAATTCTGGGCCACAAGGGCAGCTAGCCCAGTGCACGGCCAGATTGCCCGGTGGGCGCTGTTGGACTAACCATGCACGTTACCCTGCTGGCTTGGTAGCTCGTTACCAGTGGCCCGTGGAGTGTTTTGCCGGAATGCCGAAAATGGACCGCGTCGATATGGAGCGCAAAATCGACGGCGTGAAACCGTAAAGTGTCCCACTAACTGCTATCGCTGTAATACCGCCGTAATATCGCTGTAAAACTTAACATCCAGTTTCTGGTTGCAGAAAGTGAAGTGTAAGTACTACGAAGATAAAAGTAGGATTTATTTGTTTATTTATTTATTTTAGGTACCCAGCAGCGCCCGTGAGGGCATTACAGTAGGGGAGGGGCAAACAAAAAAATGGCATAAAAACACTTACCTGAAATAGAAGAAAATCAATTTCGTGCCCCCTGAAGCGAAACACAGAGCAAACCAGCTTAGGAAAAGTTGGAAACCAGTGAAAGCGCACTCTGCAAATGCAAGTGAATATGAAGATGTCACAAACATTAAGAGCTGGTGAGAACATGAAAGAAACGGCGAGTTCATATCTTAAGTCAGCAGATCCTCGAATAGCTCATTCAAATTCTAAATACGAGTGGTTATCATTTGAGCCCGTTCTCGTTTCGACCTTCTCACTTGGCCCTTCTCAAAACAACCATTCTCAAAAAGATCTTCTCTCCTGGACCTGTCGCATTTGGCCCTTTCCCGTTTCGTCTTTCGCATTCCAACCCTCCTCGTTTGGGCCCGTTCTCGTTTCGCCCTTTTCACCTGGCCCTTTTCAAAGCAGCCATTCTCAAAAAAATATCTCGCTTTGACCCGTCGCACTCGACTCTTTCTATACCAAAATCGTTTTTTAGGGTAATATTAATAAATGCATTTATATAATTTGTGTGTGTGTGTGTGTGTGTGCCACGCTCCGGGCATACTTTCTCTGCTAAGGATTTTAGCAGTGCGTCGAGGTCGTCGTGAAAAGCTATCTCACAATAAAGCAGACCAACTATTTATCGCAGCAATAATACTTAAAAAACAAGCGAGCTGGTGATGATTTCGTTGTGTTGTGTTCGTCCCCTTCTGTGTTTCTGTTCCTGAGTCTTAGTTTTTATTACCATATTTATCGCAGCCAGATCATACTCCGAAATGTCACATTGTTTGAGGTCTCTCGACTTGGGACAATGCCACGACTTCTATAATGCAGTGGTTCTCAAAGGGCGGTCTGCGAAGGCATCCTAGGGGTCTGCGAAGCCCTGTCTCATCAGTCAGGCACGGCACTATTGTCGTTCTTCACGTTGAGAAGGAACGTTCCAATTTTCGGGAGAGTACCCTAGTGTGTATGTCAATGAGATAAATCTACTTCACACTAGCAATTAGTTATATCCACTTATTAAATCATTATCATGATAACCTATACCTTTCTATGCCACCTCACCCCGAACGGGGTCCTCCATCATCTCCGCCTTTCTACAAGGGGTCCGCGAAACATCAATGGTTGAGAACCACTGCTATTATGTATGCTATTTCTGTTCAAACAAAGTTTCCAAATTCAATGTTCATCGCTTTTTTTTTTCTCGTTTGCTTAGAGGAAGGGAAGCAGGCGTCATTGTACGATTCTCAGTGCTCACCTCTACAGATAACATTTATCTGATGGTATGTTAGGGGCCCAAGCAAGTTAAGGGCTCATCAACAAAACCGCGAAGGCAAAACGACGTTAGAAGCATGCCGAACTAGTGCCATTCGGTCGTGGCGCGAACGGGCGAAATGAGAATGGGTCCAGTTGCGAAAAATAAAACTTGGATCTTATGAGAAGGTTAAAACGAGAAGGACCAAATGAGAATGGGTCGAAATGTGCAAGGTTCAAATGCGAATGGGATGTTTTGAGATACACCCCCAAAATACTGCACGCGAAAAAAGGAGTAAATATTTGAAAATGGAAGTTTTAGATGTGAAAGACGTAATTGTTCTGGAGTGATCCCGCCTGTGAGAAATAAAGTGGGGTTGCAATATGCCTGTGAACATTTCGTTTTGTTGATGCCGCAATGCTCATGATACCATGAAGAATTTTTAAACGAACATTTCTACGAAGGGCTTCGAGAGGTTGCCACTTAAGTTCACATTTTAAAGCGGTCACACTTTAATCACGTTTGTATTTATCGACAAAACCTGGCGGATCTGTTTTGAATTAGATTTCTTTCTTTCTTGAGATACTGCTGGTGGAGATCTTAAAGTTCAGAGGCATATTCCAGGCTGGGTCTGATGTTAGCGAGGTAAAGATAATTTTTATTTCACGAGGACTATTCCTGACACGAAGGCGGCTCTATCAAAGCTAACGATGATCTCAATCGAGTAGATTGAACGAGGTGAGGCAGCCGTCTTTGTCGTACAGGAGTCCATTCTGGAGCCGTCGTGGCCGGTGTGGTCGGTCTGAAGATGCCGCGTTACTGTCTCTTCGGCGACTCTGTCAACACGGCTTCGCGGATGGAAAGCACCAGCGAGGTGAGAGAGGCGTCAAAAGTAGAGTAGCTCCTGGTGAGGACGTGGCCATTGATCCTATTGGCGGTTCTCACGCAGGCGCTGCGGGTCCACATTAGTCAGAAGACGAAAGATCTCCTCGATGAGACCAAGTGGCAGATATTGGATCGAGGTACAGTTGATGTTAAGGCAAGTAATAGGTTTATTTCTGTGCACGCCTTTCTACGCGACCGTTACACAAGCACCTTGCATGCTGTACTCGCGAACCACATTCTACGCATGTGGTCAACTAAGGAAAAGTTAACCTGTATATGCAATTCTTCAGAGTTTGCCCCTTTAGGGGTATCAATCTTTTTTGGGAACTGAACGAATTATGTATTATTGCTGCGGCTACAAGGTGTCCTTAAAAAGGCACGTTGTAGCAATACGTTTAGCCGTACACTTTTCAGTTGACGCAAGCCAAATACCCGCATGGATTCCATTAGTGACTTTTTTATTTGTTTTCATTTGGGCTCCGCATTTTTTCATCTCGTTTCGTGATTTTGTGGACGTTGTGTTGACACATTGAATGAGCACGTATCAATGCACCACGTTCAACTGAAGCGGAGGACATATTCGGAGTCTTGGACCATCGGCGCCGATTACCGCTTGTTCGAAAAGATCACTCATTTTGTTTGGTTTCCGTCCTTCTTAACGCGCACGAGCGCAGCAACGACCTCAGCCAAATGCTGCATCGCTGCCTGAGTGGGTCATCGAATTGCATGATTCAAGGTCGAGCAGCATGACAGCTCAAACCGTCGGCGAAAGAGAGATGCCGTCGGCTATCCTTCAGAAAGGATAGCGTCGCAAACTCCCACCCCCCCAGGGCAAGGGTTCGATGAAGACCTACTGGCTACAGGGAAAGAAAGGCCCCGGCCAGCGCAAACTTCCCGAGACGCAGACGGTGCAAGCGAAACGACAAGAGTCCAGGCGCCGCAAGTCCGCCGCGGGCTCGAGGTCCGTCTACTCTCCGGTGACGTACGAAGAGATCGCCAAGCACTCGCCCTCCAATACGCCGCCTCCTTACGCCGGACTTGCCCCCGAATCCGCCAAAGAGGCCGCCAGGGACCCGGTCAAGCCCGTGGTCGTTCCGCTCGCCAACGGTTCGCCCAAGAGACGAGCGACGGGTGTGAGCCCCGTCGGGGCTCCAGAGTCCAACGGCCGACCCGTGGCGCGCAAGGCGGCCTGGACCGAACTCGAGCTCAAGGTTCCCACGCAGATGCCCGTGGTGACCGCGCCGCAGCCGTCGTTTGCCCAGCTCGGGCTGCAGCCCTGCCAGCACTGCACCCACTGTCACAGCTACCACCAGCGCAAGGTGGGAGACGCCGCTTCGCTGGACTCTCGAGACAAAACGGGCTGCTGGAACACGTCTTCGCAGACGGCAAGAGGCGTGCACGCCGGCCAGTCGGCCGTGGCCTCCGGCGCCTCGTGTTCTCTGCTGTGAGGCTGCCCTTCTGGGGGATGCGGTTGGGACCTTGCGGGAACTCTCTTGGAACGCTGCACGCTTACGTCGTATGAGATGTTTCTGCGGAACGCTCTCGAAACTCCGTCGAGGCTCTTGTCGAACTTGGTCAGCACAATGATGGAAGAGTTGATAGTGTTTCTCACTGGGAGTTTGTTGTTGAGCACTGGGAACTTGTCTGGTCTAAAAGACGACGACCGTTCCGCCGTCAAAGCAGAAGGATTTTTTCATTATTACGCCGCGTGAGTCATTGCCTTGGATCACCGCAGGAAGCATACTTGAAGGTGAAATTACCACGTACGACTATACACTCTTAAAAAAGCGTGTCGGCTTACACCCCTTTGTCCCCTATAATGCACCCCAAAACTTCTGTTCGACGTAGAGCGCACTGACATCGAACAGACGGCCCCGACTTTTAGGATGGGCTTGACAACGCTCCAATATAACTTATTAAACTGCTAAAGCACGCGTCAAAAACTACAGGAAAAAAAAAATAAACACCGAAGGTTCGTAGTATTGCCAAAAGAAAACCGCTTCTTCTTTTTTTTTTTTTTGTAGTTAGTAGGCACGTACACTATCGATTTTAATGAGTTGTACCACTCGGCTATTAAGTCGCTCGTGAACGTTGGCTCCGTTGGTTCGACGTCACTGCGCTGTACGTCGAACTCAAGTTTTGGGGTGTCTTTTGTGAGACAAGGGGTGTAGCAATATGCCCCCTTTTTTCAGAGTGTGTATGTTACGCACGGTTTTGTGGTGTTCATTGTTTGGAACTTGGTTTGGTCAGCTAGCACACGGGCATCTTGAAAATAGTCTTCATGCGTTGCTTTGCTGGTGCGCTAACCTCGTGCAAGCTTTGATTGAAACTATCTCGGATGAGTTTGTTAATTTTATTTTCCGCGAGTGGTATCTGGCTGTATCATTTTCGTGGGAGGTACAGACATTTTTGTTGCTCGAACTTCTAAGGATTCGTGACTTTGCGTTGGTACCAGCTTGCTGTCGAAGACCTCATGTTGAATCAAGTTTGTTATATGTCAGGGATTCTTAGTCATCAACGCTGTGTTTCCGAGATCGTTTTCTAAATTATGAAGAAGTCCTAGACAAGAGGACATAATCATTTTGAGCCTAACTTTGGTTGGATGGCCTTTGACAATTTTTGTTAAATATTATATATCAAATTTTATGCCAAAATAATGTTAAAATTTAAATTGCGTCATTTTATCCCATAAATGCCCATAAACAAACCTCGTAGCACTATCGACGTTGTTGTGGCCTTAGTCTGAGCGCATTCTGAAGTCTAGCGGATTCGTGTATCCTCATATCTAGGATATATGTCGAGGTATCTTTTATAAGCTCCTGTAAAAATTTTAACGCAGTATGAATACCAAAGCTTAGGTAATGGTAGATAGAGTATGCCAATTATCGCTTTAATAAATTGAAAACCATCCACTACTAAAAAAACGCTATCCCGACAGGTAGACGTACATTACTTGGACTTGCGTCGGTACACTTCTACCCATGCCACGTGGACGCTGGAAGTAGCATTTAATCTGATGTTATTTAGGCCACGGTGAATCAGCTGGTTATCCTAACTGCGCCTTCGGCCTATACGCTGAATAACCGATTGTTTAACTGCCTTTGGCCTCCCTTTCGTATGCCCGTAAGTGGTACCGAGTGTGGTTAAAGATATTCGTAGTAACGGAAATCTACACTCGAAAGCAGTTGTCCTTGTGAAGCCTCTGTAGAGCACTGCGGTGATCGAAAGTCTGTCTTTTGTCTCAGTGTTTTTGGCGATGAAGAGCCGACCAGTGCTGCTGCTGGGGATGGCAGAAACGGGTCTCAGATCAAACATGCGGTGGGACATGAAAGCAGCAATATTCTCTTCTTTGTTGAAGTGTCCTTTCAAATTCTCGTGCCCTTGACTCTGAGCACAACAATTTTTTTTTCTTTCCTAAGATGTTACCACATGTTGCGTGTATGCCGGACACTCCAGGATGGAATTTGTCAGTGCAGTCGCAGTCTAAAGTGTTTGATACAGCACAGTCCCAGACAAAGTGACGAAGGCACCGCAAAAACCGTCACTGTCGTTCCAATTTGCCACAGATATTCGAGGTGCGATCAAATAGTTCTCAGACTGATATGGTAGCGTAAAAAAAGGACAGCACGGCAATGCGCAAAACAATCGAAGCCAGGGACCTTCTTGCGTCATTGTGAAAAAATAGCGTCGTCCTATGAACATTTTGAGTTGCGCCACGCAGGTTGTTTTGACCACGCGTACGAGGTCAATGACATTACTATAGACTGTAGACCGGAGCGACAGGGAACGTCAAATTTGCGTTAAACTCTGCAAATCTAAAACCGAGACCTTGGAAGTGATTCCGTAGGCTTCTGTCTAAAAGCAGTTAAAGGAGCTACGCAACAATTTTTGTACTTTGCGCAAATACCGCTTAAAACGGATCCCTAACGTTAATGACCTATGAAACACGCGTTCGTTTTTCACCCCAGGCAATAGAAGTCCCAGAAAAAAATCAAAGAAAAACGAGCAGAGTTCACCCGCTCAACTCGCAGCCAGAACAAGCGTTAACGTGATCTGGAGCCGATTATATGCCGCCAGTGTTGATCATAGCCACGCGCTGGGGTTGGCAAAGCGCAGGACACGCGCTGAGTTCCAGACATTGTTATGGCTCGGCTGTTGTCGTCGTTGCAGCGATTGGACACGGGTCACAACCCGAATGCTTCTCGAGCTAGCAATTGTCACAAGCCCAAGTCGAGTGCCCACGCAATGCTCGGGTCCAATCTATGAACCGCATTCAAATATCGTCATTTGGGTGTACTGCGATCCCCGAGTTACGTCATCAAATTTTGCAAAGGAGAGATTGAATGAAAATGATCGCTTTTGTCCTTGAAATTACACCGCAACAAAGGAGTTTCTTGGCCAATGGCGTTGCGTGTGAGTATCCTTGAGTCCCAGGCGTGCCAGTAAGCTCGTGTAGAGAGAAAAACATTCCAATTGAATATCGTTGCACAGCTCCTTTAACGGACCCTCTTCCAGTAAGCTTCTGCGCATGCGTGCACTCTCGCTGACGTTATTTTTGCAAGACACCGAGACGCGGTGCCCTGTGAAAATGCCATGGCCACAGCAACATTGACAGCATCGATCTTCGCGCGTATTTAGTCTAGTTTGACGCTTTGTTTTTTGGTATCGGTAGTATGGGGTATAAAAAGCACTGAAAGCCGATACAACGGCACAATGTCAATGTGTCTTGACGGGGGGAGGCGTGTTGGGCTGCTTTTCATTTGAAGTTTGCAGTCAACTCCCCGGACGGCGCTCGGTACGCGAAAAAGGTCCATTGTACGTAGTGCTCCGAGTGGCACTGGCGCTTCAAGAAAGGCAGAACATCACTCGAAGACAAAGGTCGCCCTGCCTGTTCTCGTCTTCAAGCGATGTTCCGCCATTCTTGAAGCGCGATGGCCACTCGATACACTTGGCACAATTCCCTACTTTTTGACATAGGCCCGCTGAATCCTTTCAAAAGTCTCTCGCTTAAATTTCCGGAGTTTGACGCAGAATTAATGTTCGCTCGTGCTCTGGTTTGCAGTCTACGGTAAAATCGCCATTGTGCTCGTGCATGTCGTCACAGAAACTCGTGTAGCTCAATTCCACATAGAACATCGCCCCTTGGCATGATGAGAACAGAAGGTCTGAATGCTTGAGCACGCATCTCCGTGCTGCCCGCTAGTTTACGCTACGAAAGGAGTCTCGGAACCTTTTGATCCCACCTCGGTAGTATCTGGGAATACTCTTTGGGACTCCGTCGTTCCTCACCCGCTTCAAACACAAGTCAAATTTCTTCTCGTACAAAGTGTAGCCGTGTCTCGATGACCGGACATATTTTTATTGATTTTGGCAACCAGCTACGCCGTCACTTCATGACGTGAAGGAAGCTCACCTCTGTGCATGTCGCCTTGGAAGTGCCGAAGCGTCGTATATATATATATATTTATTTTTCTGCTCGTGTAGGTGCGGTTTGTACAGAGCTCCTTGGGTGTCCGCGTGGAGCGATGAACCAGACGTGTTATGGTGCTCACCTCTATTTTTGGAAATGGAAGATCTCTTGTAGAGTAGTACCATAGCCCAGAGCTATTTACTCCGTAACGGCCGCGTGAAGTACTACAAAATACAGCATAGACGATTTTGCTTTTCACGAGGTAATCACAGTCCATACGTCAGCCAGAAAATGCTCGTGCGAGACTCTCAAAAACATGCAGTGAGCACGCAGTGATGCGCTTTTATAGGAAGCTGTGGAGATGCGGACTGCTTAGGGAATATCAAAACCCTGTGACAAGCACAATCTTGAAAGAGATGAGCGAGCGTCTTGCTTTCTTTGTGGCCGTTTTATGTACGCCACTCTTTATTTTCAAGAAGTTTGATGTGGCCTCGCGAGGCCTTGTTTATTCTGCTTAATCTGCGGCCTTAAATTATTTTTGGATGCCCAAAGGCGCCGGACATGTGGCGAAGACATAATGCGTCTCCAATCTATCTTATTATTGAAAGAATCAGCTGTATTTGAGGCCCATATTTCACTCAAACGCAAGTATTTAAACATATTTACAACGACGAACCTAACTTCTAACTGCGGTTCCGCAAAAACAAGGACATCTAGCTAAGATGATGCACGATAATCACATAAATCAACTATATATTTGTAAAAAAAGCATCTTTCTATACTGCTTAGTTTTCTTAAGAATCGCCCAAAATTCAGCGAGGTTTAACTAATTTCTCACCATGTAATACGTGATATGTCTCGTTAGTATGTACGTCTCCGTTCCCCCAGAAAATCGTCCATAATGTGAGTTGTCCATATTAACGAGACAAAACTGCATGTATTTTCCCAGTTTTTCCCCGAAAATGGTGTCCACATAGCGGGGTGTCCATATTAACGGGGTCTATTTTAACGAGACATGACTGTTGCACATCTTTGAAAACCGGAAACGACGGACGAAACTTGCCTGTTGTACTTATATTCCTAACGAGCGTTTTGATAAAGTATACTAGATAATAGAAAGAATAGAACATATAGAGGACGGAACACAGACGAGTACATTCTTTCGACTAAAAACAAAGTTTATTCGATAGAGTACTATAGCATTTTCCTCCGCGCATTCCTAGGGAAAGGGGGAAAAGAGCAGAGGCAGAGTGGGAAATTCAGAAGGAGGAAGGGTGCATCGACCACTTCGGAACGGGCCGCCCACCAAGGACGTCTATACTCCGTTTCACCTTCAGTCCGAGCGCAGTGGACGCCACGAGTTATCCCAGCCGATCCAGCGCCGGGAGAAAGTCGCGTGACCTGCCGGTGGGGCGGGGCGACACAGGGAGCTCAAGGTCGCATGACACTCTCTCAACGCCGCATTGGCTGGAATGGCTCCTAGCGTCCGCTGTGCTCGGACGGAAGGTGAAACGGAGTATAGTCACTCCGGAAAGTTCTCGGCGGAGAAGACCCATATCTTCAGAGTTGTAGCGAAGGAAACATTGACGCCGGATTTTTGCATTGCAAATGATTCGATTACTTCCCTCCCAAATTTCTGAGGATGGCGCCCAAGAACGCGCATTTTCCTGAATCTAGGTGCACATCTTGTGCATGTGCGGCGATGTGCTGCTATCTTCTGCACCGAATCCTCGTTCGGTGACCTCACGGTAGTGCTGGGTCAGGC